GACACTGGAGTGGATTGGACAGTATTAAGGAAAGAGGAGGTTCCCCCACTATGGAAGCTGATTCCCAGACCTCAGATATTGGGGGTGGGGGGTGATACAWGGTCTGAAGAAACAAACGAAGGATTGGTTTTCGTGGAAGGATGTAGATGGTAGTCAGCGAGAGGTACGCCCTCTGGTGGCATCTGGCCTGACAGCTAATCTGCTGGTACAGGATATTTTGGGGGAAGCTGAGGTGTTCATCACCACAGATCACAAAGGAATGTATGACGATATCCTAGAGGAAGAGGAGTATCAGCAACAGTTTGTCCTATCAGGTCCCCTTAGCAATTACCAGGGCGGGGGGATCCACTTTTTGAGACATCGAGGCCGAACACTCCTGAACCCCGTGTGAGGCCTCACCCCCAATCCTAGTGGCCACTGTTCCTACCGTCCCCACCATTCAATGGCTTCTGGGCCCTCCAGTGTGGGTGGAACAGTGACCGCTTCCCCTAAACTACAAAAGTTAAAAGAGATAATATCAGAACTACTGACCCTAGGGCATATTAGGCCCTCCCTGAGCCCTTGGAATAGTCCTGTATTTGTCATACAAAAGGCCACACAGGGAAATGGAGAATGTTACAGGACCTAAGAAAGATTAATGAGTGGATGATTCCTGTTGATACCCCCTTGCAAGGGCTACCTGGATCCCCTGCATCCCTTGGGATTTGACTCTCATTGTGATTGATATCAAGGATTGCTTCTTTTCTATTCCCCTTGATCCCCAGGACTGTGAGAAGTTTGCCTTCTCCGTTCCCTCTGTTAACTTCCAGGGGCCAGACCAAAGATATGAGTGGGTGGGTTTACCCCAGGGCATGGCTAACAGTCCAGCTTTTTGTCAACATTATGTTTCACAAGTCCTGCAACCCCTTCGGAGACAATCGGACATAATTCTATATGTTTACATGGATGACATCATTATTGGGACGGCGGACGCCAAAGCGTTAGGCTCCACCTATAAGGAACTCCAGACTCTCTTACAAAAGGGAGGATTACATATATCTAATGACAAGGTCCAGACCTTACCCCCTTTTAAAACTCTAGGGGCCAAACTTAGGTTGGACTCTGTCTGTCCCCTTAAACCTCAATTACTTTTCCAGTTGTCCTATACCTTGGTGGAATTACAAAAACTGTTGGGCGAACTCAACTGGATAAGGCCTTGGCTTCACCTGCCTACACAAGACCTGCTTCCGCTTTTTGACTCTTTAAGAGATAAAGTCCCCACAGATGTCATCACAATGACTCCATCACATCAATTTATATTCCAAAAGATTCAGTCAGCCTTAAATGCGGCCCAGTTGGCTCGCTATAGGCCCCAATGCCCCCTGTCTTTGGATCCTCCCCAGCTCAGAGCTTTCTTCGGCTGCCATTACCCAGTTAGGCAAGCCTCTTCAATGGATACATGTGTCTGTGGGAGGGGCCCCAAGGGTCTATTCCCAACTTGACCAGTTGGCTGACCTGATAGTTAAGGGTATGGATATTTCCCTGAGACATTATGGGCAGGATCCTGATGTGCTAATAATCCCCTACCGATTGTCGGAATTTAGTGGGTCAGAAGAAACCATAGTCGGGTACCCAATGCCTTGGAGGGTTTCATGGGAAAGGTGGATTGTCATTATGGTACTTTGAGATGGGTGACATCATTCTCGAGGTTACAATGGACCCCCCCCCCTATACTTTTTTTCACCAGACTCCTCACTAAAGCAGTATATGTCTTTACTGATGGAGGAAAAGCTGAATCTGCCGCAGTGGTGTACTCTGCCTCTTCCCCTGCCAATGAAGGGGAAAGTACACACTATTTTGAGCCAGTTACAGGATCTGCACAATTTAAGGAACTATATGCAGTTGCCCTGCCTTAACCCATGTCCATGGACCAATGAACTTATTTTCTGACAGCCTATATGTAGTCAACTTGTTACCAACTCTAGTGTCAGCGTATATTAAGTTGGACAAAAACCCAATTGATTCAAGTCCGATCCTTCTGCAGCATCTCAGGGGACATCAGGAGTTACCCGGAATCTTGACATGGGGGAACCAAATGGCTGATCGATTGGCTACCAATGGGACTAACATAGCTACTGCTCAGTCTCAACAGAACCTTCAGATGGCTCAAGGACTTCATGAACTTACCCACTTAAACTGGAGAGGGTTACATCAGAGATTCCCCGATTCCCATAAAAGATTTTTAAAAGATCATAAGGACATGTAAATCATATATGCCATTTTTACAGTTCTCACCTCTTCAATCCCACTGGGGTCAACCCCAGGGGCCTCAGACCTAATGTCATCTGGCAAACTTATGTGACCCACTATGCACCTTTTGGAAAATTAAAAAATATATATGTCTACAGATACCTATTCACATGCTTGTTGAGCAACTGCTCATTTGGGCGAAAAAGCTCAACACGCTGAAAGCCATTTCCTACAATGTTTTGCCATTTGGGGATTACCCTTACAATGGGCCATGCTTTGTGAGCAAATCACTACAAAATTCTTCCAAACTTGGAATATTAAACACACCACTGGAATACCATACAATCCAAAAGGTCAAGCTATAATTGAGAGGCATAATAAGACCTAAAAGGACCAACTAATAAAACAAAAAGGGGGAAAACAACCCCCATGACCAATTAAGGACAGCCATGCTTACATTAAATATTTTATTTGCTAAGATTTTCCCTGTAACATAATATGTGGTCTATTTTTGAGAAAGATCCATGTGCTGCTGAGTAAAAAAGTGTATCCGCTTGATGTTGGGTGGCATATTCTATATATGTCAATTAAGTCTAAGTTATTAATTGTATTATGAGCTCTATAGTTTCTTTATTCAACTTTTGTTTGGAAGATCTGTCCAGTGGTGAGAGAGGTTAAAATCTCCCATGATTATAGTGTTGTGGTCTAATTGACTCTTGAACTTAAGAGTTTTTTTGATGAACGTAGCTGCACCATTGTTTGGGGCATATATTAATGATTGTTAAGTCTTGTTGGTGTATGATTCCCTTTAGCAGTATGTAGTGTCCTTTTTTATCCCTTTTGATTAACTTTGGCTTGAAGTCTATTTTATTTGATGTGAGTATAGACACCCCTGCTTGCTTCTGAGGTCCATGTGAATGGTATGATTTTTCCCAACCTTTCACCTTCAGTCTGTGTATGTCTTTTCCTATCAGATG